ACATGTTTGCAAACAATGTCTGATTTGAGCAGTGATTTCCTGATATCCTATTTACCAATTTTGATTCCTAGTTTTAAAAAGCCTTTAAAACCTCCCCTTTGCTTTTTTGATGCATTGAGGAGAAAAATTAACATGGAAAAAAGAAAAGATGACTGTAAATATTTAATATGTTCATCTCACATTTTTCTTTTTTAGTATACCGTAATTATTATTATTGTTTAAAGTGAAATGTGCTGACTGAGTTTGTGGTTTTGTGTTTTATTTTCTTAAGTATCTTTGAATGAGGTGTAATGTCCTTGAAGTGCCTAAATAGACTTTGTTTTGACTCGTTCAGTGCTATTTAAACGGTAACGACTTAGGCATTTAAATACCAAACACATGTGTTCCTTTCTTTCTCTCCCATTGCCACCCTGGTTAACAGTGAAAGGGTTACAGTGCTACACTAACCTCTAAGTCAACACCATACTGACTTTTTAACCCGTCCTTCTAATCAGCTTCTTCTGATGTCCTGTTTTAAATTGCTTGTGATTTTTCTTTTTTATTATAAATTCCTATTCTTGGCTGCCAGTTGTTTAAAAGGCTAGTTAGTTAGTTCTGGGTCTATGTTTTATTTCTGCTGGATGATGAATTTGACCCGTTCCTGTTATGACTTTTCTGCTCTTCAAACTTTCCTTTAATTAGTCTGACCTTAAATTATCTGATTGTTCTGTAGAAAAAAAAATGAAGATGGAAACCTTTAAAAAAATGGAGTTAGACAATTTCTAAAAAAAGTCTGTCATCTTTCATCATCTCATAATTAAAAAAAAAGGAGGCAAACTGTTGTTGTAGTAATGAAAGGAAATGCAATTGAAAATGTTGCAGATGAGCTGTTTAATCCATGTAATCCCAACTAACCAATCCAATTCAACCTTTAATAGGTTGAGTTGGATGTATGTATGGTTTTGATTAAAATGTGAATAGTTGGGATTAATTCATTAGAGCTGCTGTAATGAACTAAATTCATATTTTTAATAATTTTTCACTACTACTTTATTTTTATCAGTTACTCCTTTATTCTAATATTTTGACAACTTTATCCTTGTAATGTTAAGATGTTATTGTAGTAAAATTACAACTTTATTCCTGTAAATTTTTAATGTTACAGCTTTTTTTTCTCCTAGTAATGTTGTGGCTTTGTTCCTGGGTTTTTTACTGATTCTAATAATGATGTGACTTTATTTCCATTATTTGAAACAGTTAATGTTGTATTGTTATGAATTTGTTCTATTAATATTACATTTCTCCATAATATTACAACTTTATTCTATTAATACTGCAACTTTGTTCTAGTAATTTAACAACTTTATTCCTGTAATTCTACAACTTTTTTCTCACAGTATTACAACTCTAATTAAGTAATAAAAAAAAAAATATATATATATATATATATATATATATATATATATATATATATAACTGAAATGATCTGAAGTTTCATCTTGGACTCCTTTCTTTTCACACACACCCTAAGACTCTATGTTGGCCCATCTTAACAGGCTTTGTTTTGAGGGATATGCAGGCATGTAAAAACAGATTTTCACACATTTAATCACTAGTTTTTGCAGTGATTTCATAAAGTTTCTTTGTAATGATTTTAGGTAATGTTTATGGGAAGGAAATGAAACAAACAGTTTATTCTTTCTTAGTGAAAACCTCCGATCAGTAGCTTTTGATCAGTAGTTCATTTATACCATAATTTTAGTGCATCTACAAATAAGAAAATTAAACATACAATTTATTTTGTTATGATGTCTTTAAGTTGTTGTCTTGTAATTACTTTAACTATGTTTTATTGTTTGATATTAAAGAAATAAACTTCTCTCTTCTGTATTTGATTATGAACTTTAAACAAAAACAAATTAATTTAAGTGATTTCATGAGAGATTTATTAGAAAAAATAAATAACATGTTTTTATTTTTTATTTTAGCGTAAATATAATTATTTAAAGAAGAAAGTGCATTTCCTTTTACCTCCAGATCCATGTTTTGTTAGTTTTCTCCCTTTTAGGTAAAAATGTTTAAAGCAGACGGGAAATGGGATGATTCATAATACTTTTTTCAAAGTTCTTGATTAAATGGTGTCTTCGTTTTCTCTTTTTGTTAGGATGACCATGACAGCTGCTCCAGCTCTACTAGCCGCAGTGTCTCCGACAGCTCCAAGTCCACCGCCAAACCCCGCCGCCTCCAACAAGCAGCACCCAGTGACCCTGACCTGCCACCAGGTAACCACTTCTTTCCCAGTGCAGACATCAGTTTAAGACAGTCAGGCTACATGCATCTATTTTTATTGAGCATAAAAAACATCAAACAGGATGCATGTTTTAGGGGAAGGAGAAAGCATTTTCTGATTTCCTTTTCATACATACCCTATTCTCTTTTATTTAAACATGTATAAATCAAGCAGTCAGTCACACACCACTGTTACTTGTTTAAGGGGCTGGATAGGGAGCCATAGGAGCCAGATCACTGTACCATCCAAAGGTTAACTCCCAGAGCCCTAGTAGGCCCGGATCTATGAACTCCTACTCCTGACTGGTTTTATCAGGGGAGGATCCATTTCCAGGCCTGATGTTATGAGATAATATCTCTCCCCAGCTGTTAAAGCAGCATGCCCCCACACCCCCAGCATCCCCCTATGGTGCCTGCCTTCAAGTAATCTCTTTGGAGTGTGTGAATGTGTGCCTTTGTTCACCTCTGGGTGTCTAGGATTTTTTTTAGAGTATCAGTGTTCGTTTATGTGCGCATAAAGCACTCTTCCACCAGTGGTCCTCATTTTAACCCATTAGAGGCAATAGAGACAACATGGGGTCAGAGGTTGGAGGAGCTCAATAATAGCAAGGAAGTAGATGAATGCTGTAATCCCAGGATTCCTAATTAAAAGGTAGAGGTTAAAAGGTAGATAGGGTAAAACTAGCCCGCTATGACTCAGACTGGATATTTTGATAAGAATAGGATACAAACCAAATGTGTCTGAAGGCTTGCTTTCTAAAAGCAAAGACAGCACATTAGCTGACTTAATTGTGTTCTGTAAACTTTTTAATCTCCTCGTTGTATGGATAGATTTTGTTATTCTGGTGAGTAAAAGTTTTTTTGTGTTTATTTTTGAGGATATCTAGTCTGTGTGTACTCAGGGGTCGTAACGGTAGACGTATTGAAACCAAAAATATCCAGTAGAGCTGTTGATGTACCAAGCAAATACAGAGTTGTTTTACTGCTGAACAAACGCAGGTTGTTTATGTGTGGGATTAAGAGCTTAATTTAATGTTCTGGAGCTTAAGTGGAGAAAGAGATGCAAAAACAAAGCCGAGACACTGAACTTTGCTGTTTGGAAACTTGAAGCTTTCTTTTGCAGCTAAAGAGTATAAAAGATTGCAGGAACTTACTTCTCTTAGAAGGTTTTGATAAAGATTAAATAGAAAACATTGCGCAGCTCAGTTTGCAGCAAACTGAATGACTCACCTGAAACTACATCAGGCTGAATGTCACTGAAAAAGAATCAGCTAATGTTTAAACGCCCACCTGGAGCATCCAACAGTCCAAACCAGAAATATCTTATGAGGTGCAGCTTGAAGAACAGCTGCTAATGCTGCATTCAGGTACAGCTGGGAAAGACTGAAACATATAAAGTGATTCAAAGGGAGCCTCGATTAGGCACGGCTATACCTGCTTCTACTGTTTTCATCAATATAATCAAATCCAACCAATCAACTCAGTGATTTCTACTCTTTGTATTTCTCAGAAAACAATAAATTCAAGTTTGATTTTAGATAAAAAAAATTATCCTCAATTAAAATCAGAAAAATATTTTCTCTTTAATTGTACTCAAACATTGAGACAAGTTACTTTTAAGCCCAATTTACCATTATTATGCATCATTACACCGAATTAAACAGATTTTATACATAACTAAATATTGATGCAAAGGTTGTTTTTTTTTAATCTGGAGCAAAGA